TCATATGCATGATCCAGCAAGCATATGAATATGTTAGGTCGAGTTCATGGCCTTTTTAAATACATTTTGCGCTGAAAATCACTAAAATATTGAAATCAAGTGGGTGGGGACTGGAAAAGAGTGAGTTGCCATGGGAACAGAATTTTTTACTGCCGTAGGTGTGCTATCTGTAGAACTATTAGCCTACCAAGTTTCAGTGGTCTGTGCTGGAAATTGACAAAGATAGCTCTATTTTTATACTTGATATAATATTGGGTTGAGTATATGACGTCATCAGTTATCTCATTTGCATAGTTTACACATTTTCAAACTTAAATATCTCTGGAACGAATGCAGATATTTGCAAACGGTAAATGGCGTTTTTGTTCTTTCATGCCATTCTTTGTGATACACCAAAAAAATCAAGGGGTAAAAATTTGATCATAGTACCACTTAATGACGCTCCCCCTTCCTTTGGACAGGCACATGCTGAGAGGGACTGATTGTGCAAATAAACCTAGTACACATATCGGGTTATCATAGTTAGTGTTTCACTTAGTTAGTTGCTTGTATGTTTCACAACTCCCACCGGCTTTTGCTTTCCTACCCACCCACCCACCCTGTGTATTTCCACCCTGTGGATTGTATGAACCTAATTCTTGAAGTCTTAATTTGACCCAAACAATTCTGTAGTGATAACATGTATAAGCTCTACTGAAGCCCATCCAGAGTCCATGCTGTTGCATATAAGTGACAACCAGTTAGATGCTTCATGTATCTCCATAGATGTATGTATCTTTGTCATCAGCTTCCAATTTTCTCAGACTGGATAATAACCTCTTACTAACCAAGTGCGAGGGCCATACTGGGGAATATTAGCCTGAGGTCTTGGCAGTTTAGACCAAGTGCAGCAAGCAGGGTTGTCCCTAAATGCTGGCTGCTGGCAAAATTCACCAGCTGAGAAAGAGGTGATCATCAGCTGGATTTTGGTGGGCGATCACTCTGTAAAGGACAACAAATGGTTTTTAGGTTACGCACATACAAACATTCGATATCTGAACCATGTTAATCCGTCTAAATGAAAAGTTTGGAATAAATTCCTAACTACCTTGAATATCGGTGCCACTATAATGAGTAAAGTAATTGAAATAAAATCTTGTTTTGAGCACTTGTTTAGAGTATTCTCTTTTTGTGTTCTGCATCTGCCATCTTGTAAATGCGAAGCTTGGTAGCACGGTATTCAAGGCATTTGTTCCCAAAGATTGGGAACAAAAATTTTGTTCCAGGTCTTTTGCAAAAATGGTGACCAGCTCAATGAAAATCTTAGCTGGAAGACTATTTTCTTAGCTACAACCCAGAGCAAGGTCAGTACAAAAATGACAGAGGGCGAACATTCCCCAGTACGGCTTGAGCAAGCTAGGTGAGGAAGTAGTTTATTACATGGTACTTAAAAACAAAAAATGCACCGTTTTGACTGTTACCATGGAAATGGTGTGTATGGTGAAATGCCAACCACAAAGAACCAATTTCAGAATGCTCAGATTCACCTCAAGACTACCTTGCCATAAAATAATTGATAAGTTTATTTGTTATTGGCATTCACATCCTGTTTCCCTTCAACAGCAGCAAGACAGAAGTCAGGTTTCCTGTCAATATTGGAATTACTGGCCATGTTGCTACAACAGGCGAAGTAAGTAATATATCAAACATGAAAGACCATGTTTGACCACAGTTCCAAACACCAAGAAGAGAGTTGAAAATATGACATGTAGCAGAGTATTTGTGATGAACTTTGAGGTGTTTGGAAATTATGTGGTCAAACACCGCGCACTTTCATATCTTCACAATCAAAACTAAAACTAAGGAGAAAATGGAGACTGAAATAAAATTGTAAAAATCTAGGCTGATTAAGATCAGATATCCAAACACTGTGATGGTCATGGTTTCCTTTGTTGAAACTTGATGAATCATTGATGAGTTTGAGAATGTAAGCTCTGCAGTCATGTTGCAAGCATGCTTAATGCTGCAGAATGAATGATATGAGAAAGTCTTAAGATTAGAATCTTAAAATGAAGAAGCTAGTCATAAAAGGGGATAAGTGACGATTTTGGTTGCTTTTCTTTTTTCTTGCCCCAAATTAGCTGAATTTTTGCATGTGGTCTTCAATGTAATAGAAAAACGTGGTTCTGTATTTTTGTCACT